GAGAGAGAGAGAGAGAGAGAGACGGGTGGATGAGGCCCGAGATCCGAACCTTTTTTTTATCGCCAATGGACCCTGACGACGACTCCCCTTTGTGTTGACTGCGTGAGAAGAATCCACGCCTTTTTCCCACACGACGACGAGGCCAACAAAGGGAAAGCTGTGCGCGCGCATCGTTCGAAACCACACGCTGCACCTCGACGAGCAAAAGGCGAGGTAGGTGTGCGCGAATCGTACTTATAGTCGCGCGCTTTGCTCATTTGCCCGCTTGCCCGCTTGCTTTCATCCATCATCATCACAATGTCGCACCGGGACTCGTCGCTCGACTCTAGCATGATGGCCTCCTCGCCTGCGTCTTCGACCTCGAGCCTCGACTCGCCTACGCAAGGCGCTACCGCTACGAGCAAGAACGGTGGTGCGTGGTCGTCGTCGTCGTCGTCGTCATCGCCATCGTGGGGGCGGTGGGTGGCGGACAAGTATACGGTGCAGTATGCGATTCCGGCGGCGTATGCGCCCGCGGCGCTGCAGGTGTGCATCACCGCGTTTCCGCTCGGCGTACTTTTCGGACTCGTCCTGCCGCGCATCACCACCTTCATCGGGCAGATGTTCTTCGAAGGGACCCACCAAGAGGGGCTGGCGTGGTACGCGCACGCGCAATTGGCGCTGTACCTGGGCGCGTGGGTCGTGTTTCACATGCTCGAGTTCATGGTCACGGCGAGCTTCAATCCGACGCGGCTGTTCTCGGACAGCTTCCTGCTCAACAACGGCGTGCACTACCACATTGCGCACCTCGTCGCGCTGCTCGAGTTCGGCCTCACCGCGCACTTGTACCCTTCCTCCAAGGCGATCGGTTGGACAACGTGGGTGGGAGTGGTGGGTGTGGGGGTGGGGCAGGTGCTGAGGAGCATGGCCATGGTGCAGGCGCACAACAACTTCAGCCACATTGTCGCCGACCGCAAGCGACCGGACCATGTACTGGTGACGAGGGGCGTGTATGCGTGGACGCGACACCCGAGCTACGTCGGATTCTTCTACTGGGCGGTGGGCACGCAGCTCATGCTGGGCAACAAGATGGCCCTGCTCGGCTTTGTGGGCGCGCTCTGGACCTTCTTTAGCAGGAGGGTGAGGGCCGAGGAGAGATGGCTGCTCGAGTTTTTCGGAGACGAGTACAGGCAGTACGCCAAACGGACCGGCACCGGCTTGCCCTTCATCTGATCGCCTGCACAACCAACGGCCCATCGAATAGCGTGACAAGCAACCACGAACAGGCAGTGATTGTGTGAGAACTGTCGGTCGCTCCGGCTGCCAAGCTTGGATTGCTGAGCGCCGCCGGCATTTTCGCCGCCGCCAACTTCGAGCTGAGACAGCAACGGCGCGTGCGGATCGGAGGCCGATCGCATCTTGCAGCTGTCATCCGAAAAGGCCCATCCCGATGCGAGCAACAAGGGGGGGATCTCGAGGTGATATTCAGACGGCTCGAGCGTCGCGCGCGCAACAAATTCAATATTATTATACGCTCCCCCCGCTTTTCGCACCCGACCCGGGCTGAGTTAGAGTGGATCGGGATGATAACGGTACCTTTACCGCCTGCACAGCAGCATTTGGCGCTCAGCTCGAAAATGTCGACAAAATTCCCGTCTTTTTGGTTTCGGCGAGCAGGGATTGCAACGCCGATCGAGAGCGGTTGCCGCCTCGAGCTTGGCATTTGGCTGTGCTGCTGCAGACGCAGTGGAGCTGTCAAGGCCTGCACGATTCCTCCGTCCTTCTCATCCCCCAACCGCCGTGCGCCAGCCGTGCCTTCATCTCGCTTGGCCTCCTCGTCGTCGTCAACCACCATCTCGACCAACGCCCACCCCCCAGCCCCCACCGCGCAAGCTGGCTGGCTGCCGACATGTCGATGCAACCCCTCGACCTCCTGATTTGAATCTCGACTCGTCCAAGGTTGCTTCGTCCACATGCACGACACACCCCTCGCTCGACCACGCCCAGGCGCGCCCAGGCGCTCGGCGTTCCTCGCCCTGCTGCTGCCCCTCCTCTTCGCCTCGTTCCTCTGTCCAACATCAGCACAGACCGTCACCGAGATCGTCACCTTCACAACAGGTTCCGCATCGCTCAACACTCCCACAAGAACGCCCCTCGCCGGTGCAAGCGGCTCAGCAACCCGCTCCACCCCCCAAGTCACCAACACCGTCATCCCAGACCTCCAACTCTCCGGTCCACAGGTCCCCTTCCTCCTCCAAAAACCCATCCCCTCGCGCTACGACGATGCCGCAAACAGAGTCACCTCCCGCATGAAGGACGTCTACTTTACCGGCTGTCCCGCAGACCAGGTCAACTTTGTAGACCCGCAACTCCGCATCAACGTCTCCGCCGTATATACCCAGTTCGACCCGGACCTCGACCCAGCGCGCGTCCTCGCAGACCAGAACCAGTACTCCTCGGGCGTCCTTCGCATTGTCGCCGTCGGCGCAACAGATGCACAGGGCAGGACCGTCAACACCAACGTCACCCCGCAGCTCCTCAGCACCCTCTCCGTGGAAACTCAATTCCTCACCTTTAGCATCTTCCGCAACGACTCCTACCTCTGCGACAGCCTCTACCCCACACAGCCCGACCCCAACGGCACCACCGTCAATGGCGTCGTCATCCAGCCTGCAGGATGCCTCTACGGCCCCGGCCAGCTATCCCTCGGCCTAGGCATCCCCCTCAACGACACCTACACCCTCGGAACCCTCTGGACTCGCATCCGCCTCAGCGACACCTCCAGCCCGCCCCTCGACATCGCTTGCTTCGAGATCTACGCCAGCCCCTACGACGACGCAAAGTGGTACTGGCACCTCATCTTTTGGTTCCCCGTCGCCCTCACCATCGCCTACTTTGTCCTCGTCGCCCTCGGTCGCATCTTTTGCGCCCTCACCTCGCGCGCCAGGGCCTTCAAGAACAAGGCGAGGGAAGGCAGCCAGCCCAACATCATCAACGACACCATCGCTCCCACCCTCGTCTCATCCCTCACGGGCCAAAAACTCGCGCTCAGCGCCGCCCTCCTCCGCTTCGCCACCCCCGGCTGCTGGGACATCATCCTCCACACCCAGTTCGTCGCAGCCATCGCCATGATCGCCGTCCGCTGGCCCGAGTTCGCCTACCCCTTCCTCAAGCAAGCCGCCTGGTCCACGCTCACCGGCAACGTCACCCTCATCCGCCCCGCAGAGCTCGACGCTTCATTCAACCTCCTCGCCACAAACGCTTCTCTACCCTCCGGCGACATCAGCCAGCAGTTCGACAACCGCACCTCGCCCCTCTACATGAACCGGCAGGCTGACAACCGCCTTCTCAACCTCGACGGCGCTCGCGCCGGCATGGACGCCTATGCCCACGCCATCGGCCTACGAACGCGCGACCTCTTCGGCACCTGCCTCGCCATCTGGTTCCTCATCGTAGCCGCCATCGTCGCTCTCTCCCTCGCCGCCTGGCTCGTCGACTCGATCCACCACACCTTTTTGCGTCTCCAGAAGCGGCGCGAGGACGGTTACGACCTCGACCTCGCCACCGCTCCCAACGGTCTCGAGACAAAGGAGATCGCAGAGCGCGACGACGACGACCAGCCCCGATCGTCGCTCAGCCGTCGCGGAGGCTACCGCTTCATCGGCACTGGTCGCACACGCCTCTTTGGCGCCAGCGACAACACCTTCCACCTCCGCATGCTCCACGGCAACATCCTCCGCGCCGTCTTGCTCTTCCACCTCCCCATCACCATCTTCACCACCTACCACATGGCCAACGCCGACATCTTTTCCGCCACCTCGGTCGCCCTCGCCGGCCTCGCCTTTGCCTTCCTCTCGGTGCTCGCCCCCGCCTACGCCGTCT